AGGATTCTGGATCTAGGCGCGTGCCCATTGCTGACATGGGTACTGCCAAGTCTCCTGCATGGGGGGCACGCACTGCTCTGAGGCGGGCTTTCTCCTTCTCTGATGTTGTGACGCTGAGCATGGCATCAGCTACTTTTTCCACTAGAGGGTGGTCCCACCCGGACTGTTTGTGTTGTTTTGTTGGCTCTATAATGGTTGCTGGGGCTGCAAGAACATCCCACTGATTTGAACATTCAGTGAAAGCAGGATCGTGTATTCCTGCTGAATCTCTCAGGGTTGCAGGTAAAGTATCTCTGACGAGGTTGTGCGATGCATGGGAGGAGGAAAGGAAGGCTGGTAGAGCAGTTTGGGAGGCTGTGCGGACACCAAGGCCGCCGAGTCTTACAGGAAGGGTTGCTTGCTCCCACTGAGAGTCGTCCAATGGCAGGTTCAGGACTTTCACCAGCATGGACCTCAGAAGGGTGTCATCCACATTTAACTTAGGGCTGCTGTAGGATGAAGAACGTCTCAGAAAGTAGGTCAACTTAGGGAGAGACAGGCATCTTGTGAGGAGAGAGAGAGCATCATGGGCATCAATCTTGTCAATCCTGTCCAGCATTCTCTTTAGGTCAGTGATTTTTGCAGCCAGGACCTCCTCGATTGCTCGTGGGCCAATGGGGGCACCCAGGAGAGTGCAGTCCGGTGGCTCGACAACGAGAATTTCTGGAAGAACATTTTGTATTTGCCCAGCGATGTCTGGGTTGCGGGAGATTATTTCACATTTGGATGCATTGAGAATGAGGCCTAAGGCTGCTCCCTGCTCCTGGATTTTCCTTATATCCTCCAAAATGGTTTCCAGAGTTCCAGCTAGAGTGCCATCATCCAGGTACCAGATGTTTAGCTCGCTTGTCAGACTATCAGTGACCTCTTTGATAGCTAGGCAGAAAAGGAGGGGGGCTAAAGGGTCACCTTGTCACCTTATATATAATATATATATATATATTTTTTTTTCCACACACACACATACACACACAGGTAAGTACACACACACATATATATATTTATTTATTTATTTAAAAGAAAATTAACCAATAGTTATTGGCACATTAAAAAATGTTGAGGGAGAGAGAGGAAAATATACACTTACATATGTAGGGTACAAATAGCTCCCTTGAATGTCATTTATTTTCTCTCCCGAGGCAAAGGGCACTCAACCTGAGGTGGTACCCTCCATACATACATATGTATACGTCTATAATTACCAAACATACACACATACATACTCGAGCTCGTTTCAAACAAAGATGGCGGTGAAATTACGGCACACACAATAACAAGCAAGCTAACTGCTGCAGCAAGCTAGTGAACATCCAAGGAAAGGTAAATGCACAACAGTTATAGAGTAGACATTGCTAAACGTGATGCAGCCGTGGTGTCCACATTCATAATGCGCACTCTCGTTCGGGGAAGATGACGCTTGACTATTGTTTCCAGACGTTGTAGTGTCCACAGATTAGCATCAGGAGCATCACTACTGGTAAAACCAGTATACATCTGAAACATTTCAATTAAAAATTAGGATTTTTGGGTATACTGTACATAGGCATTTAAATGCCACCTTTAGGTGACATTTGGTAATTAAATGGTTGTAAAAATCTAGTACTAAATGTAATGAAATGGTCAGTTATGATGTGGCCTCAATGGGTCTCCAGATACCCACACTGACCTACCAACAGATAGGACCACAAGCTGACTGTCTCTGAGGTGAGCTTAGCTTAGCCAACACTTCTACCTAACACTCCGGAACAAAAAAGCAAAATCATCCAAACTACTGTTTGAAAGAAAGAAATCCTATGTCAAGCAATCATTGGTGTGTGCAAATAATGCAAACCTTCATGTGCCTGACCACCACCAGATGGCAACCCAGGTCACCCAGAGGTACAGTGCTGATAGCGTATCTCACTTATGAGTTACCAGGAACAGACCTCAAACACACATGGAAGAAGGGATCAGGGCAAGAGCAGGGTTCTACTTAGGGGTCCCAAGAAAGGGGCATTTCAATACATTAAGCATTTGATTTCTGGGACCACCTTCCACCCTCAGCACCTTCCTGGAGATTACTCCAAATGATACCTTGGCATAAGGAGGATGTCTTTTTCTAAAAGGGAAAATTATCAACTGAAAATGCATAACGGGTTTTCTTGTGGAAGATAACAACAGGAGAGCTGGGCATGGAGATGAGGAGCAACAGCCCAAGTGCCACACAGCTACAGTGTGGCTGAATAACATCCAAGAAGAAGCAAACAACCATCTGGACGAATCACAAAAACAAAACAAAAAACTAGGCCCAGATAGCAGCAGTGGACAAAGAGCGTCAAAACCGCAACCAATGCATTCCACTACAGACCACCAGAATGACAGCCAGAAAGCAGAAGAGAACCAGCCACAGGAAATACCCACAGATTAGCTGCCTGTAGACCCAGGGGAAACTAGAGACACCCACTGCCCAGGAAGCCAGGATATATAAATTCATAAGCCCAGGAGCCAGTCGGCCGAGCGGACAGCACACTGTACTTGTGATCCTGTGGTCCTGGGTTCAATCCCAGGTGCCGGCGAGAAACAATGGGCAGAGTTTCTTTCACCCTATGCCCCTGTTACCTAGCAGTAAATAGGTACCTGGGTGTTAGTCAGCTGTCACGGGCTGCTTCCTGGGGGTGGAGGCCTGGTCGAAGACCGGGCCGCGGGGACACTAAAAAAAAAGCCCCAAAATCATCTCAAGATAACCTCAAGAAGCCAGGGGATAAAGCCCAGGTCCAGACACAGAACCCTTAATCTCTGGGCATGCAAAAATCCTAAGTTCAAGCTAAACAGGCTAGGTCCAAGAACTAAGAGACTGGTGTCAGTGCAGATAACATGACAAAAATTAAATGCAAGCCATTTACCAGGGAAGGGACTCCTGAAACATGAGGCAGGTCAAAATAATAATGAGAAACAAGTAGTGTGGGTGATATAAAACAACAGTGAAGATACAGTACAATAATAAAGTACTGCCCCACACAGGTAAAAGGTTCCAAGGGAAAAGTGTATGACCCAACAGTTTGGGTCATACATTCCATAGTGCTTAGGAATACCTATATATGCTCAACCATGCAAGCATATCTAGGTGAGGTGAATGGCAGTCTAAATGCTTCAGGTGAGCTGAGCTACCATCTGGTGGTAGCTAGATTAGTTCACCCATTGCCAATTTTCGTTTTGTCTTACTTCATAAATTTATTTATTTCTGTAAAGTAATGGTTTGTCTTGTTTGACCTGTGACTTTCTTTAGCGCAGTTTTCTCGGTGCTTTCGTCTTGAGCATAAGAGCTTAACGGAGCACAGGCTGATGATAACAATATAGAGAAACACCAAGAGACACTACTGTAGATACATTTTGCCTGTAGAGACTTTATCACTTCTAAGAAGCAAAATATCTTCTTAAACAAAGTCTGTTCTCAACACGGTTTATCCTCTACACAGCCTACGTAGCATAGGATAAGAATTACAAAAAATATATACACAGCCTACATAACATTGGATAAGAATTACAAAAACTATACACATTAATGTAATTCCAAATTTTCAATCTTGAAGCAAATAAAAAACTGTATCCAAAGCATCAGACGGAAGTAATGTGAAATGCAGTACAATAGTTACCATATATGTAAAGAAACATTGCACAAGAAACATTTAACCCTATGTGGGTGCCGTGGATTGTTTAATGCCCAAACCAAACCATTCACCAAGCAAAAGACAAATTATATTCTCTTCAGCAGCATGCATTACACTGACATACTATGTTCAATTTCATACACAACTTTGTGATAATGTTTTGTGCTGAGGTGACTAAACATCCCAGGGTACTGATCAAGTTTGGACACCCCAGGGTATTCATGAGGCTTGGACACCCCAAGGTACTAATAAAGCTTGAACACCTCAAGGTGCTAATGAAGTTTGGACATGCAAGGATACTTATGTAGTGTTAAGAGTAACATTAAAATATAACTATATGCACTTCATAAATAATAAATATATCAAACCCCCTTTTTTCACTCAGAAAGCACTGAAATATAGAGAAAAATACTGTGCATACATTTACATGTATATATTCACATACCTTAGCTTTGGCAGAGCACATGTGAATGTGATCAACCTCTCCAACAGTCTGAATATCTTGCTGCCGTATGGCCCACACGAGCTCATCCACATGACGCATAGTTTCCGTCACTGCCAGCATGTTGCCATGTTGCGTACTTATCTTATCCTAAATGGTCAATTATAAAGTCTTATTAGTGATAATGCTCCACCTACCATCTCCGATTACATACCAGTCTCTTGAGGGATAAACATATGTATAGAGAGCCAACTACCACAACTACAACTACAGGGAGCCGGTCGGCCGAGCGGACAGCACGCTGGACTTGTGATCCTGTGGTCCTGGGTTCGATCCCAGGTGCCGGCGAAAAACATTGGGCAGAGTTTCTTTCACCCTATGCCCCTGTTACCTAGCAGTAAAATAGGTACCTGGGTGTTAGTCAGCTGTCACGGGCTGCTTCCTGGGGGTGGAGGCCTGGTCGAGGACCGGGCCGCGGGGACACTAAAAGCCCCGAAATCATCTCAAGATAACCTCAAGAGAGATACCATGGTTAATTACGGCAATCTGTCTAAATTACTACTTGGTTGAAGGCATTGAATCAATACAAGATCAGGGAACATATGTATTCAAACACCCAAATAATGGGCTAAAAGTATATTTTGTTTAATGATAATGAAGAAATACAAAGTTAATAATATAAGTAACAATAACAAACAGCAGACTGCCAATATGTGCTGCACATGACTGAGGAAGGTGTCACCTGTGCTGCACATGACTGAGGGAGGTGTCACCTGTGCTGCACATGACTGAGGAAGGTGTCACCTGTGCTGCACATGACTGAGGAAGGTGTCACCTGTGCTGCACATGACTGAGGAAGGTGTCACCTGTGCTGCACATGACTGAGGAAGGTGTCACCTGTGCTGCACATGACTGAGGAAGGTGTCACCTGTGCTGCACATGACTGAGGAAGGTGTCACCTGTGCTGCACATGACTGAGGAAGGTGTCACCTGTGCTGCACATGACTGAGGAAGGTGTCACCTGTGCTGCACATGACTGAGGAAGGTGTCACCTGTGCTGCACATGACTGAGGGAGGTGTCATCAGTGTTTGCTTCTACACTTATGTTGACCTCAGAGCAAATACATATACAAGACCAATTCTTCCCTTCATAATCAATAGTAAATATTGTAATTATATGTAAACAAGTCAAATGTGACCTCACCCACCTCACTCCCTTACTTGCAAACAAATACTATATTATTATTATTATTATTAGTGTATTGTATGATTATTTCCGAACACTAAATACTACAGTAAATGAATGTGTGACGAAGTGGCTCGAGTATTTTTGTACTACATAGCATATGTTTTTGCTTTGAGATAGAAGTGGAATAACCAGACTGTGTAGGGTCCTTTTGAATGGAAAACAACTCTTCAATGTACCCTTAAATTTTATATGCATGAATTTGCTCAACATTATGTTTCCCAAAAATGTATTTCACACGCAAATCAAGATTTACTTAACTCATATTGTTTGCAAGTAGAGATAATTATTTAGTTAAGACAACAAGTTGTAAGGCCATTGCTATCTTCAGAGAATTTGTATCATTAATTTGCTAATTTTCACTTATGTAAGTAATACAAGTTTTATGCCTAACATATACAATCAATCAGAGTACTGTACTCACATCTTCTGATGGTGCCGGTAAAACAAATAATCGCTCGAGATGAAGCAGTTTCTTCACTGCCTGACCTAACTTTGGTCCAACGGTGAAATTGAAGAGGCACAATCGCCGGAGCTTGCAGAGCCGGCTTATGGCATCATAAATGGGACCATCACTTAAAGACCCTCCATCTTCAAGCCAAAGTGCTTCCAAGTCTATATTGGCAGGGGGAGAAAATGTAGAGCATTGAGTGTAAAGAAATGACACTTTCTGTGTGGACCCCAAAGCAGCTTCTCAAGAGCTTATTATGGCACAGGAATCACAGGGCCGCCATTTTATATCACCCTCGGTGTCCTTTGCCACCTACCAAGAACTGCACCAGAACTCTGGTTCCCACAATGATGTGAAGGAAGCATGAGGAGATCAAAGGTCAACATCCTAACCAAAGTGAACTGGCCAAAAACAGAGAAAAACAAAAACCACAGCTCTTTAGAAAAGAATGAGATGGAAAGAAAACAAGGCAATTGATAGTTGGCTATGGGTAAACAAGCCTTTCCTTAACTCCCCCCGTTTGGGAGCCGGTCGGCCGAGCGGACAGCACGCTGGACTTGTGATCCTGTGGTCCTGGGTTCGATCCCAGGCGCCGGCGAGAAACAATGAGCAGAGTTTCTTTCACCCTATGCCCCTGTTACCTAGCACTAAAATAGGTACCTGGGTGTTAGTCAGCTGTCACGGGCTGCTTCCTGGGGGTGGAGGCCTGGTCGAGGACCAGGCCGCGGGGACACTGAAAAGCCCCGAAATCATCTCAAGATAACCTCAAGACAGTCCCCTCAAGGTGGCAGCCCGGGTCATTCATGAGCCATCCCTTTTGGCCCAATGCCCATAAGATGACAACGGGACAGCAGATCAGGAACACAACAGGATGAGAACTGACAAAGAAGAGAAGGAGGGAGAAGACAGGGCTTGAGGAAGAGGAGAACATCAGTAATGTCACCTGTCTAAGCACCACACAGAACTTATGATGGTCCACCAGAAACCCAAACCCCAGAGAAGAGCAGAAGACAAAACAGTCAGGAATGCCATAGAAGAGGCCCAGAGGAGTACCAAGAAAGGAACACAGATACAGGCAAAATGGCAAACAGCAACCCAACCAAGCAACCATGACAAGTTGACAACAGAAGCAGCCAAGAAACACCACTACACAACCAGAAGAACTGGACAAACTATGAAAGAACCATTCATAAGCCCTGCATTAGAAGAAGACCCTGTTAACAGAAATCTGAGCACAACCACTGTCTGATAAGTTTGCCTGAGAAAACCCTGACCAGACTCATCCTAGAATACTGGAGATTGAAGCCCAACAATAGTCACAATGAACTAGATGAGGAAACATCAAAAGTAACCCAAATAGAAATGATAAACCTAGAACAAATACCACAAAGCTAGGATGAACAAGATGGCCAAAGATGTACATAATGGCATCCAAGGACAAAAAAGAAGCTAGAGATCTGGAAGCTAGAAGCTAGAGAGCTAGATAGACACTGATCATGATCAATCACCAAATAGAGCCAGGAAGAAGCCAAAAATGGAAAGATGAACCACAAAACTTAACACACACAAACAAAACCAACCATTAAGAATGAAACAATCCAATCCGGGATTGAGGCATATCCGCAGCCACCAAGACTGGGAAAGTTGACAGCCAAAACACACAACATGGATGTCCAACAAAGGAAAGTTACCTTGTGTCGGTTTTTGGGATCAATATGGTCACCAGGCAGGTCTCAATAAGAGCAAGAAAACCCAAACCACGAGACACACCAAGAAAGCAAAGAATGAGAGAAGATGAGACACCTGAGTCCCACCTGAGAGTCAAGGACTTCCATGGAGAACAGAAACCCCATCACTGACAGAGGGCCAGAGAACACGCCTAGATGAATAGGCACACACACTCTCCCTGCCCCTTCCCCAGCAAACTGTGGCACCCAACCCCTTCCAATTGGCTAAGGCAGCTAATACTGATAACTATAACATACAGGCCAGACCCTAGAAGAATGGGGAGAGGGGAACTTGTAGGAATCAAGACTCTGCCCACAATAAAAGAACAGTTTAAAAATTCACAGGCAAAATGAAACAAATTATTGCTCTTAAAAATAAAATAAAGAAATGCAAATAATAATTAAGAAGAGGTAAAGAACCCTCAGTGTAACTCCCCTGAGTGCCACCAGGTGGGGGCCCGGATCACCCAGGGTGCCACTCACCCACTCATCTTACTAGTCAGCATGGTATTGACCAATTCATCTCTCACATACAGAGACCATTGTTTATCTTACCCAGCCAAGTGGTACTTGTGTTCCTTGGGACATTAGGTCCTATGCATGGCTATGCTTATTTCCTTATTCGCATTTTACAATTGTGTTTATACCATGCTCAGTGTGTGTGTGTGTCCCTCGCTTGATTAATCATTTTGGCTTTAAAAGTCAATTTATATCATACATTTTTCAAATACATATTTAAATGATCTCATTGGAAATTAAAATAACTTTCTAGAAAGTCCGTAACTCTGCAATAAAACAAAATTGTATAATTTTATCTAAAAAATAGTCTTTTGGGAATTGTGTTTCTCCTTAATTATGCTCTGATACAGTTTATGTACTGGAGTTTAACCCAGTAAATCACTCTTGTCACATTAGTTGTCCAATGCTATATAACTGGTAAGAATGAATTGCTCACTTGTTAGCCAAACAAACTGATAAATATAAAATCATACAATTTATGCATGAAGTGTTTAAGGTAAGCTGTAAAATATAAGCAAACAAAGACGACACGTTTCATCCTAATCAACCCGTAATTTCTTCCAAGTGAAACAAACTTATAAACAAACTGACTTGTCATGCTGCCAATATTACTCCAGGTTTGTGAAGTAAAGTTTGAGACGGGACCAACATGAAGAGAAGTGAGCTTAGTGCCCAGGTATGGCCAAGAAGGTCCAGAGAGGCCTCTCATCACCTGAAAGACAAAACAATTACAGGTTTATTAAAAAATAATACAATGATATATTAAATTGGTTCCAAGTGAAAAAATATACAAGGAAGTAAACTCATTATGACAATGTTTATTTAGGGAAAAATACACACATACAAAATGAGCTACGAGCAGAATGTTGGAGTTCAAATGAGCTAGTATATATACTGTATTATGCCTAAAGCCACTTAATACGCCAGCCCGTCCTCCAAAAATGGGGAGGTATATGTAACAGCACAAATAAGTGCAATTATGTACTATTCATAGCAGACAGGAATTGTACTTATTTTCACTTAGTATTAAATCGTACTGTCAAATATATTATGAATATTTGAGTTTACTTGAAAAGCTGAATAGAAAACCACAACCTAACCTAACCTTTGTGTTTGAAGATAAGCATTTTACTGCTTCTTAATTACAATTAGTACTTAACCTATAGCTATATTGATATTACAGTTTTATAAAACTAATAAAACAAAACTAAAATATATCAATAAATTGTAAAGTAACTCAGGATATTTTCAAATTTTGTATAAAATCTCTATTGTTTAATAAAACTAAAAAAGAAATTCCTGATATTTAAAACTTGTGTATAGCAAATTGAACTTGAAAACTTCATCCTAAAATTCCGAGTGTCTTAACAGAAAACGAGGAGAATAAATGGGCAGGTAAATGTAACAGCCCCATAAGTGCAATTATGTACTATGTATGACAGTGAGGAAATGTACCTATTACACTTAGTATTAAACCGTACTGTCAGTTCGGAGGATGGGTTGAACACGCACAGTGTTTCATGTGAGTGAGCATGATGCCATTTTTACTCTCTTTTTAAATTTCTATTCTTATCTAACTGCAGAGAATCCTAGATGTTTGTCCAATGCTACACACATTAACAACATGCTCAACCTGTACATAATTATTTGTAATGCAGTACGTATTAACTCCTGGAAGCCGGCAATCTGTAACATTACGTTTCAACTACGATGTCTACCAAACAGTGCTTACCTAACAGCAAGGTCAAGCTCTTTGTGCCTCACCTACTAGCTCTGTCATACCTGTTTTATTATGACTCTCCTAAAGTTGTGCATGAAAGTGACTTTGACAATTTCTTCTCTCAGTGAATTATTCTTATTGTTCAGTTGTACAAATTTCAAGATTTTTCTTTAATTTTTGTTTGGCTTTTTTTTAGATTTTAGATTTTTTCATTTTTTTCACTTCGTTTTTATTAACTGCTTTTCTTATATTTCAATGGTGGGAATATCAGATCATATGAGTTTCCCAATTTTCTGATAAGAACACCAGATCATTTGGGAATGCATCGGACGAGGGAGTGGGGAATGGTGGGGAGGACGAGGGGACAGGGGAGGGGGTAATGGTGGGGAAGACGAGGGGACAGGGGAATGGAGAATGGTGAGGGGGGGGGGGCAAGGGAACAGGGGAGTGGTGGGGGAGGACGAGGGCACAGGGGAGGGGGGAATGGTAGGGAGGTCGAGGGGATGGGGGAGTGGGAGATGATGGGGGGAAGATGATGGGACGGTGGAGTGGGGAATGGTTAGGAGGACGAGGGGATGCTGGAGTGGGGGATGGTGGGGAGGGAAAGGGACGTGGGAGGGGGGGAACAGATTAGGGAATGGTGGAGGAGAACGAGGGGATGGGGGAGTGGGGAATGGTTGGGAGGACAAGGGGACGGAGGAGAGGGAAATGATGGGGAGGACTGGGAGACAGAAAAAGGTTGCTTTGGCTCAGCAACACCACAGCAACGCGTGGCCGTGTAAGGCTAGTTCAGAATAAAAAAAAAGCAACTATCACAAATTGTGCATTTAATGTTATTATTCTCTCAGAATAGCATATGACCTTCATTTTCATCAAATTAGAATGTAGGTTTTCAGTATAGTTTACTGTAAAAAAAATTGTCAATAGGGCATTTGAAATATGCGGCAAATTTAGACCAAAAAAAATTATAACTCCAAATGTATAAAGTTAATGAAAAATTCCTTCTGAAGGGATTGTAGAACAGACAGTTGAGCACACAATATGCTAAAACAGTGAATCGGTCAAAAACCAAGTTTAGAAGCCACTCGAAGTTGAAACTCTAGTTTCAGAGATAATTGAAATTGAAGTTATCAATAATGAATAAAGGTAGTTTTAATTTGTAAATTTACTTGTATGTTTTAATAAACATTGTTTGGCATTCGTACTCGAATATGTGAAAGTTGTAGGCCAATATGTGTTGAAATGAAGTCAAGAAAAAACATCATCCAAACACACAAAATATAGGGATAATTATAATAATTATAATGATTTAGGGAATATATTTAGGGTACACTTTATATAAGTGAAAAAACCCTAATATGGTCCCTAATCATCAAAACAACCTAAAGAGACAAAGAAAATACAGTTTGAAATCAGAGAAAAAAAATCAGCCAAAAAGAAATTAAAAGTTTCAATTTTTGCGAGTTGTGACTGACTTATTTGCTGACCAATTTCATTCTATCTTCACATAATTAGGGAAACATATACATTCTCCAGATGTTAAACTTACAACAAAATCACATAATAAACAAAGGAGAAAAAAAAAAAAATCTTAAAAAAAAAAAAAAAATTCTCCCCCAAAAAATATTTTTGGGACATTGATGAAAGTAACATATATTAACATTGGACAATGTATTGATATGATATATAACAAAATAGAGCATATTAACATAGTCATTCATTATTATTTGTGTTATTATGTATTACTCAGCAATGTTATAAAAGCACCAACTGTATATCCACTTTGTGGACACTTCTTACTACTATTCTTCTTCTTTGTGCGTCGGACAGGTGCTTGTATCTCTCTATTACTGCATTATCCATCAGTTCCAGTTAGTAGGAGCTGTTCTCCTTATCAACAAAACATTCTTAATTTTAAAAAATCATCTAAAATCAATTTCTGAAAATATTTTGATGAAAGAACAGATGTTTAGGGCGGAACAGCTCCCTGTTCACGACACTGAAGCCAATAAGTTGGGGATTTGTTTAACTTTTTAAGTTATTTTTACATAATTCGAATATTTTTCACTACCAGGCCCCCAATATGCGTGGTAATATGCACAGTCTAAGAGTTAAACATATTTTGGTGAAGCAGGAGAGTAAATTTGGCATGAAAACTGTATTAGACTGAGTGAGTCTAAAACAAGCAAGCTTGCACTGTACTGTATTTTGAAACCTTTTTATCAGACAAGAAAAGTCAAAATGAAAAAATACATAAAATAAACAAGAATTCTTAAAATCCATAGTCATAAAGACATTTCAATCTTATATAGTACATACCAACACCCTTAGTTTTTGCAGTTTGATGAAATTGAAGTTATTAGTGAGTGAGAACCCCACAGAGGCACCAATTCGCAGCTCCTCTAACTCTGAGGATTCCATTAAATAAGCTGGATCAAACCTGCAAAACACAATTCATAATTAATAACATTAAAACTATTATGAAAGCTGTTTATTGTTCAAACATAAAAACACAATTCTACATATAATTTACATTGTTATATCTTGGTAATAAAACCTTGGGAATATTTATGAGTTTAGTGAGAATGGTGGGGACAGTGGACAGTAGAAAATTATTGTAACAAGGGAGAAAACTGGGAGCTCTTTCAATGCTATGAGGAATTTCAACAAATCTGTGGAATAATTAAAATGTACATGTGAAAGGTATAGACCAAACTCAAGAGGTCAAAATGTTTTATACAATAAGCCCTTGTTCTATATGAAGAACGTGTTCATGGAAATGTGCATACGAAGAAAATCCTCACAGAGAGAACTAAACTCAATAGGGAAAAATAAAGTTACATTCCAGAGACCTTCAGCAGTATACTTTTCAGCAGTCTTGTGTCAATAAAACACTAAAGTACAATACCTGAATATTATAATAAAAAATGTCCTCAATATTCAACCACAAATACAGATCATAATGACAGAGAATGAATGCTCATGACTTGCCATAATGCAAGAATGTATTTCAAATGGTGCACAAAACTCAAGATATATATGAAGAATCATGAGATTAGAGTATTATACAGATTAGAGCATGATATGTACAAGTGCAAAAATATTGACACTGCACAAATCTTAAGCAGTTTGAATTTTGGTGTAAAAAACTAGTATTGAATGTAATGAAATGCCATTTTCTGGGTCAGCCCCGGAGACTCCCCGGAGCTATCCTGGCTGATATGAATGTATTAGACCCTGGCATCAGTCAAGCGAATGGAGTTCTTAGGCCTACCGGAGACCACGAGCCAGAACCTGGCCCCACTCAGAGAGGCAAGAGGAGCAATGGCCTATAGAAACCCCCATGTGGTTGGAAATACAGTATTCTACGTCTGCCATCGACTGGGTCTGGTACCCAGAAAGGTAGGTGCCCCAAAACAAACTCTATCTGGTTAAAATATTGCTCATGAAAGCCAAACTGTTGGACAGAACTCCTCCAAACGAAAAACAAACAAACGAACATGAAGTCACAACCGTCATCGCTCTGCTGCCTGCAAACTTTCCCCCTCCCCTCCCCTCTCGGGGAGGGGGAGGAGCATTAGACCCCCCATGCCGGCTATCCACACCCCCCAGTTCTGAGGCTGGATGTCAAAACTTGCATAAACTGCCGACCAGGGGCAAGGAGGGTGGCTGGGAAGCCTCCGGGTCTCACCCAGAAAATGGCATTTCATTACATTCAGCTCTGGTTTACTGGGGAGGAACTCTATCGACTTCCCGGAGCTACTTAACCAAAGATAAAACAAGAGGGTCTTACCCAGGAGGCGGTTACCACTTGCTCCTCAACTCAAAGTTGAGACAACTGGCTGCAACCGCCGACCCATGTGGCACATGCCCGGTCAGGAACACTGACTAGGTAGCAAGCAGCCAGGACCTTGTTTGACCTCCAAAAACCCCGTGCCAGAATGTCAGCCCAAGATATGTTACCAAAGAGGCAGCTAATGCAGCAAACTTACGAACATCGTGGGAAAGAGGATAGACCCAGGCGAGGTCAAACAGGGCACAAGCCCCCCCTCCAAGTCAGCCCCCAGCCCCTCCCCTGCCCCGGGAACCTCCACACCAAGACCCTGGGCCGAGCAATCCTCCAAACCATTTGCCTCAAAAGAAAAGGCAGAGTCTGCCGGAATAGCTGGAACGAAGGGCCCCTACTGGTCAGACCCAGAAGCACTGGCTGGAGGAACAGACTCGAAAGCCTCTGTCGCCACACCGGAAGGGGCAACCCCCGAAACTGCCTGAGTCTCACCACAAATTAAACCCTGCCCCCAACTCCGAAACCCTCAGCTGCTTCAGAGCCGGAAACAGGGGGAAGAGGAACAGGATGAACAGCAGCAGGGTAAGGACGAAGGGGCGCAAGTGAAGTCTGGCCTCGGGCCGAGCTTGGGAAGTAGAACTCCCAGAACCCCATCAACCAAGTATCAACCAGACGAAAACAAAGTCGAGGCAACTAACACCCCCGGGTCTGGGTCCCTATAACCAAAATGGGACCGGTTCGGGGCATTCATGTGAGCAACCAACCTAGTGCACTGCGGCAACCTAAAACGAGCATGCAACGCCGAAGCTGCCTGCACCCGATTATCATGATCAGGGGATTGGGTGAAATGGAGTACAAGCAACACCACTCGCAAGACTCTGGATCAAAGGTGTCACCGACCCAACAGGGAGCATGACTGAGGCAGAACAGGTGACTGTCACTCCAAGATAAGGCGACAGAGCAACCTTCAAACTTGCACGAAGAGAGATGGGACCCAGGGAATGCATCCATCGGACCAATGAGCCTCAGCAGGGGTTTCCAGGGCCATTAGACGCTCTGCTAAAGGAAGCCCAGGCAAGGTACTGCTAACCGGTGCCCCAAACTACTAAGCGAACTACTAACTACTGAACCCCCGAGACATGTACACACACGGGGACCTAGCGGAGGACCACTAAGAATACAGAATGAAAAAGGGTCAACACCACCACTGGGCAGACCCTCCATCAGGCAGAAACCAAAATAAAAGAAAAACCCGCACAAGAATACAACACACCAGGTGGAACATAGCCGGCCGCTGTATTATGGTGAAAACAAGCTGCACAGTACCTTGCGCCCCTACCAGTGACGAAGCTACCTCCTACCCAGAGGTAAACAGGGGTGCATGAAACACCCGAGCTGACTCCAAGGACAGGCAATCACAGTGCAGCAAAAGACCACGGCAGAGGTAGGTCCCAAGTGACTTGTGGAAGGGAACCCCAAGCCACAAGGGCAGTATTTACAGGGCACCTAGGGAAGATAACCCTAGGTGCATGCAGCCCGAGTACTGGTGAAATTACTCTTGGCTCGCACACCACTAAGGACAGGACCACACCACAAGGCACAGTCCTGGATAGTCTAGAGCCAGAGTTGCACGACCGCCAGATTTCACCTCAGCCATAGAACTATGGGTGTGGACAGCCGGCGCAAGGATCTGGGGCATCCCCATCCCCACCCTGGGAAAGGGGAGCTGCGCAGACAGTGGCGTGGTGACGGTTGCGACATCATGCTCATTTGTTCATTTTTTATTTGGAGGAGTTCTGTCCAACAGTTCGGCTTTCAGTAGCAATATTTTAACCAGATAGGGTTTGTTTTTGGGCGCTTTCCTTTTTGGGTGCCTGACCCGGTCGATGGCAGACATAGAATGCTTCCAACCACATGAGGGGTTTCTATAGACCATTACTCCTCTTGCCTCTCTGAGGGGGCCAGGTTCCGGCTAGTGGTCCTCGGTAGGTCTAAGAACTCCATTCGTTTTGACTCATGCAAGGGTCTAATATATTCATATCAGCCTGGATATAATATATTCATATCATATCTTGTTTGGTAAAGAAAATTTATATTGAGAAATTTGTAGGGGCATTTATTATGCCACATAAAGAGAGTATTAGGAGTAATTTTTAATGTGAATAATGTGACCTGTACTAATCTAGCGACAAACATACCTAGCAGGAGCTGAGGCTGAGCGAAGTTCAGTGGCATTAACTGAAGTGAGGTGTTTACAGCTTGTGAGCAGCATCTGCAGAACTTGCCCTTCACATGCAGGGAGTATCACGCCCTGCAAGCAATGCATTGTGCCTAATGCATCAAAGATGTACTTCCAAACATCCTTCTCTGTCCTTATATCTGAAAGATGAGTAAATAATCATTTTAAGAGAAATACAAAAAACCCAGCATTGAATGTAATGGGCAAGCCCTGGAGGCTCCCTCAAGCTATCCGAACTGATATGTCTTATATTAGTTTGGGGTCATCAGTCACGGGAGTTCTTATGTCTACTGGAAACCACGAGCCAGAACCTGGTCCCCTCAGAAAGGCGCAGAGAGCAATGGCCTAAGACCACTTTACATGTAAAGTATATCATAATTGCCATCGACCAGGAATGGCCCCAGAAACATAGGCGAAACAACACAGACCTCACAGTGAGTGAGGGGAGCTAGCAGCACACCACTCCAATTCTTAAACTATGAAGCCTGCCAACCGGAGGGAGGGAGGGAGGATGTCAGGAAGCCTCCGGGGCTTGCCTTAAAAATGCTGTTTCATTACATTCAGTGCTGGTCGGCTCCCTGAAGCTACAGACAAGCTAGTCCTACAGATAAGCAAAAGACAGGGACTTACTTGGAAAGCAGCACCACCGCAAGTCTCAAGTTTTTTTTTTTTTTTTTTTTTTTTTTTTTTTTTTTTTTTTTTGAGATATATACAAGAGTTGTTACATTCTTGTACAGCCACTAGTACGCGTAGCGTTTCGGGCAGGTCCCTGGAATACGATCCCCGCCGCGAAGAATCGTTTTTTCATCCAAGTACACATTTTACTGTTGCGTTAAACAGAGGCTACAGTTAAGGAATTGCGCCCAGTAAATCCTCCCCGGCCAGGATACGAACCCCATGACATAGCGCTCGCGGAACGCCAGGCGAGTGTCTTACCACTACACCACGGAGACTGCTTAAAGAAGTTGAAGTTGAAGAAGAGACTGATGGTCGAGACAGTCTCCCCAATGCAACACAAAGCCGGAGAGGGTCCAGGACGTTAACGAGATACCTGGCAGCCAGAACTCTGTTCGACCTCCAAAACCCCCCCTTGTGCCCGAATGTTGACCCAAGACAAATTACCAAAGACAGCAGCAAGAGCAGCATACTACCTCACATCACAGGCATGAGGTTAGACTGCAGGCTGGCTAGACTTAATTATAGGGGTATATGTGAAACACACGAGCCCAGGAACAGGGAACCAGGGAAACTGCATCCACCCAATGCACATCCACCGTCACTGAACAAGTGGCCCGCAAGTAGCGACAAAGCCGCCACCAGACACAACACATGATGAACCCTGGGCCTAACCAACCATGCCTCCACAACCAACGGACCCCTCCAGAAGCCAGCCGTCTCATTCTTTACCAGAAATGAAGAAGGCTGCAAATGAACTAAACAATCACCATGACCAAACAAACAGAACCCCCATCACTGAAGAACAGCATGAAGCTCTCCAACCTGATCCCCAGAGACCAAAACCAACAAAAACAAGGCTTTCCCAAAGCAATCCCGAACCGAAGAGGCCACGACAAACCGAGAAGAAGAAACAAAGAAAAGAACCTAGTCCAAAGACCAAAAATGCTCAGGTGGCACATGAGCAGGCTGGAGGTGTAAAATGCATGAGAGCTTGCAGAACAGAGCAGAAGTGACATCCATCCTGAATGCAAGCCACAGTGGCTCCGCCAATGCTGCATGATAACAAGCAAGAGTATTCGGCGTAAGAAGCCGGTCTAGGAAAAGAGAAGAGAGAATGGACAAGACAACCTTGAACTGACACAGACGAAACCGTACAAAGGGAAAGGAAACGGAAAACCACTAAGAAACTTCACATTCTCTCTCTCTCTCTCTCTCATTTTCTCTTTCTCTCGTTTTCTCTCTCATTTTCTCTTTCTCTCGTTTTCTCTCTCTCTCTCTCTCTCGTTTTCTCTCTCTCTCTCTCGTTTTCTCTCTCTCTCGTTTTCTCTCTCGTTTTCTCTCTCGTTTTCTCTCTCGTTTTCTCTCTCTCTCGTTTTCTCTCTCTCTCTCGTTTTCTCTCTCTCTCTCTCTCTCTCGTTTTCTCTCTCTCTCTCTCTCTCTCTCTCTCTCTCGTTTTCTCTCTCTCTCTCTCTCGTTTTCTCTCTCTCTTTCTCTCGTTTTCTCTCTCTCTCTCTCTCGTTTTCTCTCTCTCTCTCGTTTTCTCTCTCTCTCGTTTTCCTTTTCTCATTTTCTCTCTCTCATTCTCTCTCTCATTCTCTCTCTCATTCTCTCTCTCTCTCATTCTCTCTCTCTCTCATTCTCTCTCTCTCTCATTCTCTCTCTCTCTCATTCTCTCTCTCTCTCATTCTCTCTCTCTCTCATTCTCTCTCTCTCTCATTCTCTCTCTCTCTCATTCTCTCTCTCTCTCATTCTCTCTCTCTCTCATTCTCTCTCTCTCTCATTCTCTCTCTCTCTCATTCTCTCTCTCTCTCATTCTCTCTCTCATTCTCTCTCTCTCTCATTCTCTCTCTCTCATTCTCTCTCTCTCTCATTTTCTCTCTCTTATTTTCTCTCTCTCATTTTCTCTCTCTCATTTTCTCTCTCTCATTTTCTCTCCCCCCCTCCCCCCTCTCTGAGGGGGTGGGGAACCGAGGCAGAGCGAGTGTCGTTGGGTATATGTATTATATACAGTATATTTTTACTAGCATTTTGTTTACCGGTCGTAACTGCATATCACAGAAGAATGCAGAAAACGAGCCCCACTGCTAACACGGATGAAGTACAGAGAAAATCCGAATGCTTGGGAGGCGGTCAAGCAGAGCGGGCAAGGATACCGGGGACAACAGGTGCCCACCAGAAAGGAAAACTAGGAACCTCAGTCTGGGAACAGAAGACCAAGGGACAAGACCACCACCCAGAAGTCCTCAGGGAAAGAGAGAGGTTAGGATACCTGCAAGAATCCGGCAACCATAGGCAGCAATAAAGACAAACAAGAGGCTGGAGAAACCCACACAGCCACAAGCATGCAAAATGGTGCAGGCAAGGCCAGAAACCAAGTCCAGAACCCAGAACCCCCCTTCCTCTCCCCCCAAGGTGCAGAATACAGAAAACCACGCACAGCAGGGGAACAGAGGTAACAGGTGAGGATAAGCACTGGGAACTCCCCCCCCCCCAGCCAAGAACACAAAAGCAAGACAAAACAGAGAAGCAGCAACCCTAGCCTATCACCAAAGAGAGACAGCAACACATGGGTGGTGCCCAAAAGAAAGAACAAACCCCCAAACAATGCACACCCTCAGGAGCCCAGAGACATGAAAAAACACATGACCAGTGGCAGAGAAGGAAGGCAGGAATGCAAGAGGCAGGAAAGAGGCAAGGGCTGAACACAAAAAATGGAAAGCCAAAACATCCAGGGAAGTGTCCCCCCCCTCCCCCCCCCAAGAAAAGTGGGGCAGAAAATGGCGTGAAGAGCCGAAGCACCACTTACGATCTTTTTATTATTTTTCCCATGATCAGAGATCACAAATTAACAGGTTTAGAGGAAAAAATATTTTTTTTCTTTTTTTTTTTGGTATGCGCCTGTGGGTGACAAATACTAAATAGCCCGGAGCCACACAAGGGTTAACAGCCAGCTGCTGATACCATTCAACTACAAATTTTATTAATACTATAATGCACAACTTACTTGGTTCTTCTGTGGAATCCTTTTCTATAGAAGCTTCCCTCCTCCTCCTCCTCCTCCTCTCTTTGTCTTTATCTGAAATCTCCTCACTGGTATCCCATTCCATTTTTTCGTCATAATTTTGTTCAAATTTCTGTAAATCTCTTCCGTTCTTGCAACTTGTTGAACTTGACTTTTGAGCAGGATTTTCAGAGCTTTGGGTTACACTTGCCATCTCGTCTTTAATGTTACATTTACTGTCCTCTCTGCCCAAACCACTTGGAGCCCCTTTTCTGTCATCCTGCTTCTCATTATGAGTAGGAGGCACATCCTTATCAAGCACATCACTTTTATGTTCTGCTTTCTCCTTGTTTCCTAGAGAGGATTCCTTTCGATTCTTATCATCGAATGTCTCGGACACGCACGACTTCCCTTCACTACACTCCTCACTTTCACGACTCTTGCATTCCAAGTGCCTGTTTTCAATATTTTTAACATCTTTTGTAATATATCCTCTGGTGTTGC